ATATTATATACAGTATTTACAGCTGACCAGTTCTTAGATGTGATGGCTGCATTAGTTTTCTTTCTTTTATTTTTACCTGGTGATCCAGCCAATAAGTCTGTTATTTTTCAACAGTACAAGCTGTCCTGTAGATGTTGCAGTTGAAGGGTTGAGACAAACCATTTTATCACTGGCAGGGGCTCCTACAAAGATCAGATTTTGTTTGATCATGTAAAACTTTATCCCAAAAGCCACACAACTTTTCCTTTTTTTTTTCCTTCTTTTTTTCCCTCTTTTTTTCTTTTTTTTTTCCTTCTTTTTTCTTTCTTTTTTTTTTCCTTCTTTTTTTTTTTTTTTCCTTATTTTTTTCTTTCTTCGTTCTTTTTTTCTTCCGTTTTTCTTTCTTTTTTTTTTTCTTTCTTTCTTTTTTCATCTTTTTTTTTCTTCTTTTTTCCTTCTTTCTTTCTTTCTTTTTTTCCTTCTTTTTTTCTTTATTTTTTTCCTTTTTTTTTTTTTCTTTCTTTTTTCTTCTTTCTTTCTTTCTTTCTCTTTTTTTTCCTTCTTTTTTCTTTTTTTTCCTTATTTTTTTTTCTTCGTTCTTTTTTTTTTTTTTTCTTTCTTTTTTCCTTCTTTTTTTCTTCTTTTTTTTCTTTCTTTCTTTTTTCCTTCTTTTTTTTTCTTACTTTTTTTTTCTTCTTTTTTGTTCCTTCTTTTTCTTTCTTTTTTCTTTTTTTCTTCCTTTTTCTTTCTTTTTTTTTCTGCTGTGTGTTTTGGTGGTTCTTATGGGCATTTTGGGGAAATTATAACTTAGTCGGTTGAAAGATAAAAGGCTCTTCGGATAGAATAGGAATTTTTAGATTTAATCATACTCGTGTAAATAGGTAAGGGGTTCACATGCGGTGAAAATCCATGGACATGTAATGGTGTTCATAGCCTGTATTTGTTGGCCTTGTTGGGTTTTAAACGACATGCATGTTTATTATTCTTGCAGATATATAAATAAAGAATTAAAAAAAAAAAAAAAAAAAGGAACACAACTGTTGGCTGTAACTGATTATAAAGTTTGAGCTGGAGTTTGGCTTCAATTTGTTAGTGTATTTAAATCTGCTAGTGCATCTAACACCCCCCCAAGACTGACACTGCTGCTGTCCAAAGCTGTTGCTCCTTCCTTCAGATTGGGGGCGCTCTAATTACAGGAGGGGTGCAACTGGCCAGATCACCAGGTGAAAACAGACTGGAAGAGGGACTAAAGAAAAAAAAGAAAACTAATGCACCCACCACATCTAATGATTGGTAAGCTGCAATGTGTTACATTTTTGTTTTTTTATTCTGATTTCACGCCGGCTCTGTGAGGAGGGATGGGATGGATTCAGCCCTCTGGCTCCCTTCCTCCCCCCCCCAGGCTAGCTCTAAGCTGCACCAACGTCTCCACGGTTGCCGGCAATCTCTGCGCTTCAGTAATGACATTCACCCTCCGCAGTGGCAGCATAATTCAGCCGTCTTCCAGCTCCAGATAGGAATCTGAGATGGGAGGATTCATGAAAAAGTCCTCATGATCGCTTCTTTATTCTATATTAAAACACGCTTCAGGGAATTGTTCCCTTCATCGGGGGAGGAGGGGGGAGCAGTCTTTAGGAACACGCAGCAGATCTCCCCCCCCCCCCCCCCCCCCCCCCCCCCGTCGTTTCTTTGTCTCCGGATCTCTCGGCTGACTCAGACATTGTGCTTACAATAAACCTTGTGCCTTGACTATGGACACTTATATATTGGAGGTTTTTTTGACAAGTAGTAAAGCAAACCTGCACTGACCTCTGTATCTGCAGGCACTGTGGAGCAATTCATCCCCAAAGTTCACAGCAGAAAAACACTGGTGTCATTCAAGTAATGCTTTCCACAGTCCAGTTCCCTCTCCCAGCAGGTTAATCAGCAGCTCAGCTATTCCTGCTTCCTAGTCAAAGCATTAACTCAGCAGCTCAGCTCTCCCTGCTTCCACTGCCACCAGCTACTCAGCAGCTCAGCTCTCTCTCTGCTTCCACTGCCACCAGCTACTCAGCAGCTCAGCTCTCTCTCTGCTTCCTCCTGCCAGCAGCTACTCAGCAGCTCAGCTCTCTCTGCTTCCTCCTGCCACCAGCTACTCAGCAGCTCAGCTCTCTCTGCTTCCCTCTGCCACCAGCTACTCAGCAGCTCAGCTCTCTCTGCTTCCCCCTGCCACCAGCTACTCACCAGCTCAGCTCTCTCTCCTGTTTCCTCCTGCCACCAATGACTCAGAAGCTCAGCTCTCCCTGCTTCCCCCTGCCACCAGTGACTCAGCAGCCCAGCTCTCCCTGCTTCCCCCTGTCACTGCCACCAGCTGCCTCAGCAGCTCAGCCAGCTTCCTGCTTCCCCCTGCCACCAATGACTCAGCAACTCAGCTCTCCCTGCTTCCCCCTCCCAGCAGTGACTCAGCAGCTCAGCTCTCCCTGCTTCCCCCTGTCACCAACTCAGTCTCAGCAGCTCAGCTCTCTCTCTGCTTCCCCTGTCCCAATGCCAGCAGCTCAGCTCTCTCTGCTTCAGCTCAGCAGCTCAGCTCTCCCTGCTTCCCCCTGCCACCAGCTATTCAGCAGCTCAGCTCTCCCTGCTTCCCCTTCCCACAGTGACTCAGCAGCTCAGCTCTCCCTGCTTCCCCTGCCACCAATGACTCAGCAGCTCAGCTCTCTCTGATTCCTCCTGCCAGCAGCTACTCAGCAGCTCAGCTCTCCCTGCTTCCCCCTGCCAGCAGTGACTCAGCAACTCAGCTCTCCCTACTTCCCCCTCCCAGCAGTGACTCAGCAGCCCTCCCTGTCTCCCTGCTTCCCCTCCCAGCAGAGAACTATTGGGCACCTGGAGCTGCTCTAATCACAGAAGCCAGGGCTGCCCGCCCACTAACATGCAGGAAAAATGTAAAAGACTGGAAAGGGATCTGTTGCCATGAGAGATGACATAAAATCATAAAGTCTGCAGGGCTGATAAAAAAGAAATGCACATGTTACGTGGAAAGCCCCTTTAAATTCCTCTGCCTTCTCCGAGGCGTGTGAGGAGAGCAGTTAACACGGCTCGCATCTCGGCGAGATCAAAGTCGGCTTCATTGTCCCCGATCCCGGATTTGCACACAAAAGCGATACACCTGTGTAAAGATAATTACCCGCTCCCGCGTGCTGGATTTCAGCGTAATGAATCCTTTCCAGAACATCCGCCTGCCAAGGACACTTCAGGGGAATTACAGCCTTAGAAATAACTTCCACCTAATTGCCTTCGGAAAAGGCCTGGAGCCTCTCGCCGCCATTCGCCGTGACGCGCCCTGCAGATCCATTCTGATAATGAATAGGAGGTCAGCGCAAAGAACCGCCAAGGGCCGCCCAGCTGTCTCTTTACCCACATGGCGGCCAGGAAATATTTTGGGCTCCGGGTGCATTCTTCCCCCCAGTTATGAATGTAAGGGGCAGGGGCGGACTGACCATTGGGGAACTCAGGCACTGCCTGAGGGCCCGGGGTCAGTAGGGGGCCCCATGAGATGTCCCTGGTACCTTTCATAGGCTTTTTTTGGGTGTGGTTTGAGTGTGTGCGAGGACACAGGGGCCCCATGATCCCCTATTGCCCGGGGGCCCCATGAGTTGTCAGTCCGCCCCTGGTAAGGGGCAATCTTCTCAATGGGTGGCAGTATGACCACCATTGTAATGAATGCCACCCTTATCTAAAAAGAACATTAGTGCCATGCAGATGGTTGGCCAGGTAGCCTTGACCCAGGACTTTTCAAGCACCAACACATGGGAAGTAAATCAGCCACAACTCAAGGACCCCCCCCCCCCCCTCTTTTTTATTACCTCCACAGTACACACACTTGAAACTAACACCAGGTTCAAAAAAAGTGAAGGCCACAAAAATGTACACAGGGTATACACATGGTCCTCTCCACAGTGAAAGGACTCCAGTCCTGACTCCCCAGGGTGCAAGACTAGTTTACTCATGGTCCACCCAGTCAAAAGCAGATGGACCCCATTGCTCAGGGGACCTGCCAAAGCAAGGGCCACCCAAGTACTTGTAAGGCTCCCCCGAATGAAGACCCCATGGGAGGGGAACAACCATAAGGCCATGTGCCCTCCAACCCAAGACTTTCAGAGCAAGTCCAAGGACCTACACCCCAATAATTGGGAGTGAGATCCCCTACAAGCTCTAAAGGCTCTAAACTCTTGGGGCAGAAGGCTCCTGACGGGGACTAAGGTACTCGTGATCCACCCAGTCAAAACCAGGTGGCCCCATTCCTCAGTGAGCCTGCCGAAGCAAGGGCCACCCAAGTACTTGTAAGGCTCCCCCGAATGAAGACCCCATGGGAGGGGAAGAACCATAAGGCCATGTGCCCTCCAACCCAAGACTTTCAGAGCAAGTCCAAGGACCTACACCCCAATAATCGGGAGTGAGATCCCCTACAAGCTCTAAAGGCTCTAAACTCTTGGGGCACAAGGCTCCTCACGGGGACTAAGGTACTCGTGATCCACCCAGTCAAAACCAGGTGGCCCCATTTCCTCAGTGAGCCTGCCGAAGCAAGGGCCACCCAAGTACTTAGGCTCCCCCGAATGAAGACCCCATGGGAGGGGAAACACCATAAGGCCATGTGCCCTCCAACCCAAGACTTTCAGAGCAAGTCCAAGGACCTACACCCAATCGGGAGTGAGATCCCCTACAAGCTCTAAAGGCTCTAAACTCTTGGGGCACAAGGCTCCTCACGGGGACTAAGGTACTCGTGATCCACCCAGTCAAAACCAGGTGGCCCCTTTCCTCAGTGAGCCTGCCGAAGCAAGGGCCACCCAAGTACTTAGTAGCTACACAATAAAACCCAGTACATAGGTAGGTTAGCTTTACGCGTTTCAGCAACACAGCCTTACTCCTAGTGCTGCAAATAAGGCCGTTCAGCTGAAACGCGTAAGCCTCCATGTACTGGGTTGTACCCTGTAGGTAATCAAGGATTGAGTATAGAGACTCAACCGTGTCTTTCCTTGTTGGATCATCATGGATGGATGTGGCCCTTTGCTTGCTTTTATCCGGCCCTTGGAGCACTATTCCATCCACTGGCTCCAACATTGGGTCATCATTCCTGCCATTGACACCAACAATGGAGCACTATTCCTCCCAATGACACCAACGATGGGGTGTTATTTCTTTCACTGACACCTACAATGGGGCACAATTCCTTCCAAAAACACAAACGATACGGCACACTTCCTTCCACTGACACCCACTATAGAGCACAATTCCTCCCACTGAGACCAGTGCTGGGATACAATTCCTTCCAATGACACCAACCATGGGGCACTGTTCCTCCAATTATCACCAATGACGGGGCACTGTTCCTCCAATTACCACCAATGATGGGGCGCTGTTCCTCCCACTGACACCAATGACAAGCCACTACTCCACCCACTGACACCAGTGATGGGGCACAATTCCTCCCACTGACACCTACATTGGGGCACAATTCCTCCCACTGACACCTACATTGGGGCACAATTCCTCCCACTGACACCTACAATGGGGCACAATTCCTTCCAAAAACACAAACGATAGGTGACACTTCCTTCCACTGACACCAGCAGTTGGGCACTATTCATTCCACTGACACCTACAGTACAGCACAATTCCTCTCACTGAGACCAGGGCTGGGATACAATTCCTTCCAATGACACCAACCATGGGGCACTATTCCTCCAATTATCACCAATGGTGGGGCACTGTTCCTCCCATTGACAACAATGACAAGCCACTACTCCACCCACTGATCCAGTGAAGGGCACATTTCCTCCCACTGACACCATCAATGGGCCACAATTCCTTCCACTGACACCATCAATGGGCCACAATTCCTTCCACTGACACCATCAATGGGCCACTATTCCTTCTACTGACACCAACGATGGGGCACTATTCCTTCCACTGACACCAACGATGGGGCACTATTCCTTCCACTGACACCAATGATGGGGCACTATTCCTCCCCACTGACACCAACGATGGGGCACTATTCCTTCCACTGACACCAACGATGGGGCACTATTCCTCCACTGACACCAATGATGGGGCACTATTCCTCCCACTGACACCAATGATGGGGCACTATTCCTTCCACTGACACCAACGATGGGGCACTATTCCTCCACTGACACCAATGATGGGGCACTATTCCTCCCACTGATACCAATGATGGGGCACTATTCCTCCCACTGACACCAACGATGGGGCACTATTCCTTCCACTGACACCAATGATGGGGCACTATTCCTCCCACTGACACCAACGATGGGGCACTATTACTCCCACTGACACCAACGATGGGGCACGATTTCTCCCCTAATTCCAAAGACTGGGCTTTGTTTACTCCCCGTGAAGACAGGACATTTTCTTCTCTGACTTCCCGCCATCCGGCCCCCCTAAAGTCTGAAAGTCCATTAACCGGCCCTTTGTTTTGAGAGTTTGGGGACCCCTGCAATGGAGGTAAGGAACCCCCTCGGCCTGTGTCTGCATCCATGGAGGTAGGTAGAGGTAAGTTCCCCATTATTTCCAGCCTACGGCATCCGCAGCGAATCATAAGAACCATAAATACGTTTGGATCCGCCGCTGCGTTTGCGCAATTCCCAGAAAGTATTTCTGTCACGGCGACGTGGTCTCTCTCTCTCTCTGATGACAGCTGGAGGAATTGTGATTGTTGGTGACAGGCACATTTTTAGCGAGCGGAGACGAGTTCTGGATTCACGATGTGTCAGCGAAGCGCGGAGGAGAGACGTCGCTTCCGAAGGTCACGACGCGATACAAGTAACTATCGGTGTCATAAAAGAAGAGGCGCAAGTCGAATATCTCAACGGCTCCTCGACTGTCCCACTGACATCGCTGGGAAGCTGATGCGGCAGCTTAGGAGGATGACAAAGAACGCAGCGCGGCGGCGCTTACAGCGGGGGTTTAACCTGCTTATATTTTGCCTTCCATGGTCCCCCCCCCCCCCCCCCCCCCATAATCACTGGGCCTCTGTGCTTCTCTATGCTGTACGAGCAGATCATGGCTGGTGGGGGGGGCCTTATTTTACGTTCCTAGCGATGTCATCACTGGGTCTCTGTTCTTGTCTATGAAATGCGCAGCGGCTAAGTGGTTAGTGTCTTTCCTTCGTCCTCTCCCCACTCTCCATGGCCGGCTGACAACACAGTGAGCGAGTGCCCTCAGTGTGGCCATGCTGCATACGGGCCCTCAGTGTGGCCGTGCTGCATACGGGCCCTCAGTGTGGCCATGCTGCATACGGGCCCTCAGTGTGGCCGTGCTGCATACGGGCCCTCAGTGTGGCCATGCTGTCTGCGGGAAGAGCGATCGCAGGGCTGTGTTCAGTGTGTGCAATGAAAGGCGAAGCGCAGTGTGATGGAGGTTGTCTGCGATATCCCGGGGAGATCAGCGGAAAATAGACCTGGGAACCTGCTGGGAGTCTCCAGCACAGACCTGTCCCAGCTTGTCCTGCCGGCCCCTCCCACCTGAGACCCCCCCGCTATTCCAATACACCGACCCGCTGATCCCACCGGGGGGGGGGGGGGGGGGGGGGGGGGGGGGGGATTATAATGAAATGTTTACAAGAGTCAGGGACACCTACTGCCTACTCATGTTAGAAAGAAACAGAGCATCTGGTCAGCAATACAACATCTGTATGGCAACTCTCAGTATTTCAGTACACTGCCAGTGTAACAAGAGACTGCCGGTGTTGTTGGACCGCCTGTATAACAAGAGACTGCCGGTGTTGTTGGACTGCCTGTATAACAAGAGAGTGCCGGTGTTGTTGGACTGCCTGTATAACAAGAGACTGCCGGTGTTGTTGGACTGCCTGTATAACAAGAGAGTGCCGGTGTTGTTGGACCGCCTGTATAACAAGAGACTGCCGGTGTTGTTGGACCGCCTGTATAACAAGAGACTGCCGGTGTTACTAAGGACCGTCTGTATAACAAGAGACTGCCGGTGTTGTTGGACCGCCTGTATAACAAGAGACTGCCGGTGTTACTAAGGACCGCCTGTATAACAAGAGACTGCCGGTGTTACTAAGGACCGCCTGTATAACAAGAGACTGCCAGTGTTACTAAGGACCGTCTGTATAACAAGAGACTGCCAGTGTTACTAAGGACCGTCTGTATAACAAGAGACTGCCGGTGTTGTTGGACCGCCTGTATAACAAGAGACTGCCGGTGTTACTAAGGACCGCCTGTATAACAAGAGACTGCCGGTGTTACTAAGGACCGCCTGTATAACAAGAGACTGCCAGTGTTACTAAGGACCGTCTGTATAACAAGAGACTGCCAGTGTTACTAAGGACCGTCTGTATAACAAGAGACTGCCGGTGTTGTTGGACCGCCTGTATAACAAGAGACTGCCGGTGTTACTAAGGACCGCCTGTATAACAAGAGACTGCCGGTGTTGTTGGACCGCCTGTATAACAAGAGACTGCCGGTGTTGTTGGACCGCCTGTATAACGAGAGACTGCCGGTGTTGTTGGACCGCCTGTATAACAAGAGACTGCCGGTGTTGTTGGACCGCCATGCTCTCACATGACGCACGTTCACACGCAGGCGTTGTGATGATGTGCGATGAAATGGCGCCCAATACACGAAGGCGAAGATCACATCCCTGGAGTTTGCATGTTCTCCCTGTGCCTGCGTGGGTTTCCTCCGGGTACTCCGGTTTCTCCCACACTCTAAAGACATGCCGGTAGGTTAATTGGATCCTGTCTAACATTGGCCCTTGTATATGAATGTGAGTTAGGGACCTTAGATTGTACGCTCCTCGGGGGGGGGCCTGATGTGAACGTACCATATATATGTAAAGCGCGGAGTACATTGACGGCTATAGAAGTACCTGAAATATATAAATAAGTGATGGGATTGCGCTTTCCTGCAGCTCATGCGCTGCTTTTGGTGCGATTCGCATAGATATCTGCGTCAGATGTCTTGCAAATCGCAGCTGAAACCGGCATGTCCCCCCGACTGTGAATGCACCCCCTCCCCCCTCAGATCGGGAGAATAACTCGCCCCGGCCCGCAGGCACCTTCCCTGGTACCCGCGGACGCCGGCAGCGCTCAGCGAAGCGACTGTTCACGTGGTTACTGAACCCCGGCGTGTAAGTGACTGCGCAATTTCCAGCCATTTCCTTGATTACTGACATCCCCCCCCCCCCCTCCCCATTTTTCCACCGTCGTCTGCGCCTCGACCTCCCGCCGCCGCCGTCAGTCTGAAGGCCGACAATTACCGCCACCGCACAGCGAAAATGTCAGGCGGCTGCCGGATCGATCTGCCGGAGCGGGAGGAGGAAAAAACTGCAGCGATTTGCTATAAAGATGGCGGAAAGGCAAGGCTGCAGGTCACGTTTTCAGGTCACTTTGTACGGAGGAGTTTCGGGGGGTCAGAGCCTCCTTCGGGGTTTCAGGTCACTTTGTACGGAGGAGTTTCGGAGGGTCAGAGCCTCCTTCGGGGTTTCAGGTCACTTTGTACAGAGGGGTTTCGGGGGGTCAGAGCCTCCTTCGGGGTTTCAGGTCACTTTGTACAGAGGGGTTTCGGGGGGTCAGAGCCTCCTTCGGGGTTTCAGGTCACTTTGTACGGAGGGGTTTCGGGGGGTCAGAGCCTCCTTCGGGGTTTCGGGTCACTTTGTACGGAGGGGTTTCGGGGGGTCAGAGCCTCCTTCGGGGTTTCGGGTCACTTTGTACGGAGGGGTTTCGGGGGGTCAGAGCCTCCTTCGGGGTTTCAGGTCACTTTGTACGGAGGAGTTTTCGGGGGGTCAGAGCCTCCTTCGGGGTTTCGGGTCACTTTGTACGGAGGAGTTTCGGGGGGTCAGAGCCTCCTTCGGGGTTTCGGGTCACTTTGTACGGAGGAGTTTCGGGGGGTCAGAGCCTCCTTCGGGTTTTCAGGTCACTTTGTACGGAGGAGTTTCGGGGGGTTAGAGCCTCCTTCGGGGTTTCAGGTCACTTTGTACGGAGGAGTTTCGGGGGGTCAGAGCCTCCTTCGGGGTTTCAGGTCACTTTGTACGGAGGAGTTTCGGGGGTCAGAGCCTCCTTCGGGGTTTCAGGTCACTTTGTACGGAGGAGTTTCGGGGGTCAGAGCCTCTTTCGGGGTTTCGGGTCACTTTGTACGGGTGGTTTCGGGGGGTCAGAGCCTCCTTCGGGGTTTCAGGTCACTTTGTACGGAGGAGTTTCGGGGGGGTCAGAGCCTCCTTCGGGTTCATTTGCTCACTCCAGGTCTCGGCTTTTATTGATTTCTGCTGCAATGCCCCGAGCCCCAAATACACGTCCTTGTCCCGGGCCCCGAATACACGTCCTTGTCTTGGGCCCCCGAATACACGTCTTTGTCCCGGGCCCCGCATACACATCCTTGTCCCGGGCCCCGCATACACGCCCTTGTCCCGGGGCCCCCGAATACACGTCCTTGTCCCGGGCCCTGAATACACGTCCTTGTCCCGGGCCCCCCGAATACACATCCTTGTCCCGGGCCCCGAATACACGTCCTTGTCCCGGGCCCCGAATACACGCCCTTGTCCCGGGCCCCGAATACACGCCCTTGTCCCGGGCCCCGAATACACGCCCTTGTCCCGGGCCCCGAATACACGCTCTTGTCCCGGGCCCCGAATACACGTCCGTGTCCCGGGCCCCGAATACACGCCCTTGTCCCAGGGCCCCGAATACACGCCCTTGTCCCGGGGCCCCCGAATACACGTCCTTGTCCCGGGCCCGAATACACGTCCTTGTCCCGGGCCCCGAATACACGTCTTTGTCCCGGGCCCCGCATACACGTCCTTGTCCCGGGCCCCGCATACACGTCCTTGTCCCGGGCCCCGCATACACGCACTTGTCCCGGGGCTCCCGAATACACGTCCTTGTCCCGGGCCCCGAATACACGTCCTTGTCCCGGGCCCCGAATACACGTCCTTGTCCCGGGCCCCGAATACACGTCCTTGTCCCGGGCCCCGAATACACGTCCTTGTCCCTGGCCCCGAATACACGTCCTTGTCCCTAACCCCGAATACACGTCCTTGTCCCGGGCCCCGAATACACGTCCTTGTCCCTAACCCCGAATACACGTCCGTGTCCCGGGGCCCCGAATACACGCCCTTGTCCCGGGGCCCCCGAATACATGTC